AAGAGAAAATACTACAGGAAATCTATATTAACGTAACAAGAAAATCATCCTCCAATAGGTTCCATCAAAACCCTAGATAACAAATTAGTTATTCATAATAGTATACATAACTACAATACTAGAATTCATAACCAATACTGAAAATAGGAAGAAGGAAGTAAAAAACTCGTAGAAGAATTCTCCGTCTTGCTCCTAGTGTGTTCTTGCCTCCTTAGGTCGAAACCTCGGTCTCCTCAGCCTCCTCAGGTCTAAATTATGTCAAAAGTATGTTCCAGGTGCTCAAAATACCATTTTTCCATGTATATATACCAAGTAGGGTCGGGCCCAAACAATTATACCTTCTCCTATGCTAAAAATGACACTTTTCCAGGTCAGGACGTCCGCGGCTGCGGATTCAACTGCGGATCTGGCCGCGGATTTTACCCAAGTTCTGTCTGCGGTCGTGGATTCGACCGCGGACCTGACCGCGGACTGTTTGGAATTTAGAAAAACATAAAATATAAAAGTTGTAGCCCTTTGAATTATCTTTCCAACCATATATTATGGAGCTCAAATAGAGTTCTGAGCGAAAAGTTATGTGCATTTTACTAGACAGTGCGCAATATGCCTACTCGATTCTTCGTTTGTTCTTAACTATCATCCGTTGATCCCCGAACACGATTCCGGCTTAATTCCTTAGACTTTTACTCAGACTTCAAGCTCTAAATCACTTGAATTCATTTCATAACATCTACATAGCTCGAAATCACTCCTACAAGGCATAAAACACACTATTAGTGCAAAACACTAGCGATTAAAGCGCAAACTCAACTAAAGTGTTGTGAATTGGAATGTAATAATTGACTAAAATACGTAATTATAGCCTATCATCAAGCACTTAGATTTTCATATTGCATTTCCATTTAAAAACAATAGAAACAGTATCCTCATAAAGCGGATAAACATAGGCTCGTAGCCCTTCTGGATTTGGATGACTCTGTTTTTGTATGTGAATAAATTACCCATCGATTTGAAGGGTCATATCTGTTCTGGGTTTGGAGGGATGTGTTTTTGTATGTTAATAAACTATGCAAATCAATTTCTATTGTTCTATGAATTTTCTACAATTTCAACATAGATGCATGCAATTTGTCTTTCTATTATAATAGATGATTGCCTGCATTCTGCTATATTGCTTTTTTGGTTTTACAGGGAAGTAAAGCTCATAAATTTCATAGCTATGGCTTATTTATCGCTAGCATTCAAGATGGAAGAAATTGATGCTCCTTTGATTGTTGACTTACAGATTACTTAAATATATCTGTGGGTGATATATTTTCTCTATTTGAATTTGGAGTAGATTTTGGTTTTCATTTGAAATTGTAACTGTTCAAATGCTTAAAATGATCCTTTTAGTATAATCTTTGTTGAATTATGATGTATAGTCTTGTTTCTATTTTTGTTTCCTTTTGAAAATTCATAGGATTGCAATATTGAGACTTAGACATGCTGTTTTTTCTTCCTTTTTTTCTGTCAATTAATCTTTTTTCCTTATTTAGTGTTACGTGAATTGCAATGGTTGAGGGTATTTTAACTGGATTATATGTTATATTCTGAGTTGGGTTGATTTTTAGATTTTGAGGAGGTATTATTTAGTTAAAGGGAAAAGATTATGAGGAGGTTTTGTGTATTGGGTTACAAATGCCTTTTTCAGATAGTTATGGTTCTTCGATGCTATTTGCCTCATTCCACCGTTTAATTATGAGTATTAGCAGGGGCGGATCTAGAGCAAAGGTTACGGGTTCCCGTAAACCCAGTAACTTTTGCATAGATCCTGTATTTGTACTAAAAAACTCATTAAAAGTATAAGAATATTTAGCTTGGAATTCAGTTCGTTGGTCCAGTTATCATGTAGATTAACTTGAGATTGTTATAGGAACCCATAAACTTAAAGTTCTAGATCCGCCTCTGAGTATTAGAAGTGAGCAACAAATATATTCCCTGGAATTAAACGATAATTCTATCGTCCACGAGTTTGGTTATGACAAGCCTTTAGCTCCTATTCCAATAGGAATATCTAAATCGACAATGTTAGTTGTTGTGCCATGATAGTAGGCTATATAGTTGATATTTACACCTTAATATGACCATACTTTGTTGTTGTTTTATAGATATATTGCCAACAAAATGCTCTAAATAGTGTTCTTTTGTTTAGCAGGGAATATTATATGAGAGGAAGCAACATGGAGTGTTTTTGGAGGCGATAATGTGAAGAAAAACGTCCACTCGAGAAGTACCCGAACATCAAGAAGCATAAATGGTCCGGGCAAGAAGGCCACCGCGACCGCGGTGAACCGCGACAGATTAATTCAAGGAGGCAGAAAGCTCAGCGTTCACCGCGGTCGACCGCGACCACGGTGAACTGTTCAATCGCTGGAAGTTGTGGACCAAAGTGTAGTTTAGGGGAAACTTTTGTAAAACCCTTATAAACTTTAGACATTTGCCCAACTAAAAAAAAGGCTAATTTTAGACTACTTTTGGAGGAAGAACAAGTGTGAGAAGATCAACCAAATATTAGAGTTCTTCTATCTCTTTTTGATTCTGGCAATTTTACATTATGAACAATTTAGTAGTTCTTCCTTATTTTGTTATGAGTAGCTAAACAATTATCTAGGGTTGATCGAACCAATTGTTGGTTGAAGTTTTGACTCAAGTTGTTATAATCGAGCCGGATTTATGATATGATTGTTCAACTATGTTTTGTATGGTGATTAATTGAATGAGCTCTTGATTAATCATGTCTAATCACCGTATATTGCTTGAGAAAGAATATTGGGTTAGATAGTTATTGAACAACACCACTTTTGGGTAATTGAAGAGATTCTTTACTTGAACTTAAAAGTGGGTTTAGAGATAACAAAACTTTGGTAGGATAATCTAGAGTTGTATACCCATAGTCAGCTAGAGTAGTTCGAGAGAATGCTCTAGTAAATTATCGTAGTTGATCGAGAGATAATTACGATAGCCCATAACTCTTAATCCTCATAGAGTATTACGGCGAGATTATAGCGGACGAGTCAAGACTTAAACTAGCAATTGTGGAAATCACTGCCCTAGACCTTTTTACCATTGAATTATCTTTGTTTTAGCTTATTGTTATTTTTAATAAGTAGTTGAAGTCGTTAAACAAAAACTCAATCTTTATTGATCAAAAATCTTGCATCTAGAGATTGATTGAATTGATAATAACATTGCTGGAAAGTGCAATAAATAGGTTAGTTCCCTGAGGATTCGATTCCGGACTTAAAATCGGATTATATTTGCAGCGACCGCTTTGTCTTTTAAAAAGCATAGTTGGGCATTATCAAATTTTGGCGTTGTTGCTGGGGAACTAACGATGTTATTTATTACAACTTAGAAGTAGTGTTAAAATTATTAGTTCAAATCAAATTTCAAAGGTGCTAAACAAATTTTCATTGAAATTCTAATGTTTGAACTCTTGTGGAATTAAGGTGTATGCTTAGAAATTCTTTGAGGACTGGAGAACTGCTTGAAGGACTTTCAGACCCTAAGAAAACATTTAGGGCATTAAACCGTGCCAACAGGAGGATCCAACAATCACAACAACCACATCAGCTTGACCTTGACATGGGTGACGTAGAGAACGTCAACGGAAACATCAGGGACGAGCAAGCTGACCCAAATGTCAGAGTGGTGGCACCTCTTGTGCCCGAAGCTGCACTTTATGACTGGGCTCAACCCACAGCTGACAACCTGGCAACTGCCATAGTTGTACCTGCAATACAAGCGGAGACATTCCAGATCACCAACAACATGTTGCATCTACTGCAGAATAAGGGATTGTTCTCCGGGTCACACATTGAAGACCCTCAGCAACATTTAAAAAAAATTCTGTCAATTTGTGTGACTCAAAGGCAACCAAATGTGACCCCAGAAGCTATCAAGCTATTACTGTTCCCGTTCTCTGTGACTGGAGAAGCTTAGACTTGGCTGAATTCGCTTCCAATCAATTCCATTGTCACCTGGGAGGAATTAGTAAAGCAGGTTTTGAATAAATTCTACCCACCCAACAAGACTGCAAGGCAGATTGATGAAATATTGCAGTACAAGCAGCAACCGATGGAGACCCTACAAGAAACTTGGGAAAGATTTAAAGGGATACTGGTGAAGTGTCCTCACCATGGCATTCCAGACTAGATGCTTGGCCAGAGATTCTACATGGGATTAGCTGACAATCTAAAGGCCAATGTGGATGCTTCAGCTGGAAGTGCATTTTTGAGTAAAACATTCATTGAGTGCAAGGTCCTTCTGGACAAGATGTCCCAGAACTCAGTGTGGATGACTAGAGGTACAACACTGGCACTCATAGTGCATTCAGTGCCTCTTGACCCAAATAATTCGCAGGCAGAGAACATAGCCACACTTCTAACGCAAATGAGTATTTTGACAAAGAAGATAGATGAGATGGGTACAAAACAGGTGCATATTGTTGACACGACAAATGGAGGACTGTGTACACCCTGTGTTAATCAGTCCTACATGTGTTCATGGAGCGGAGAAGGCGAAAATCAAGGGGCGAGGGAAGATATGAATTATGTTAACAACTTTGGGGGTCAGAGACAAGGAGGACAACAGTGGAGACCTGCACCAAATCAGCAATACATACCCAACATGCCTCAACCTGGGAGCATGCAAGCTCAAGGCCAATTGGTGCCATACCACCAGAGACAACAAGGCTACCCACAGCAGAACCGGCAACAGTTGACATATTAGCCACCTCCGCAGCAGCAAGATAACAACATGGTAGAGATCAGGGGGATGCTCCAGCAACTCATTGGGACAAACGGTAAGATGCAAGAAAAGTTGGCAGTACATGATTCAGCTATAAAGAACATTGAAACTCAGTTGGGGCAGTTATCAATGGCTTTGAACAATCGCCCCCAGGGAACATTGCCAGCGGATACAAACATTAACCCAAGGAGCAAAACCCAAATCAGCTAATGGCAGTAAGTCTTCGAAATGGGAGAGATTTAGACAAGGAGCAGGAAGTTGCACAAGCCAGCAAGGAGACTACACCAGCCACTCCAACTCCACTAGAGGTAGATGAACCAACAAATCTGACTGAAGTGGTAGTTGAACAGGGTCAAGATGAAAAGGGTAAGGCTAAGGTAAAAGAACAAGCTGCATAACATATGGTGCCTCTTGTGCCACTGAACCCCAACAGAGAGAAGCCAGTAAGCAGTGCACAAAGGGTGATACCTGCACCATTCCCTCAAAGATTGGTAAAACAAAAGAAGGAAGATCAATACAAGAAATTCATGGAGATGCTGCGTCAAATTCAGTTGAATATTCCTTTGATGGATGCCTTGAGGGAGATGCCAGGTTATGCAAAGATGATGAAAGACCTAATGTCACGGAAGTTTGATTTTCAGGATCTATCCACAGTGACTCTGACGCAGACCTGCAGCGTAGTAGTGACCAGACCAATGGCTCAAAAGATGTCCGACCCAGGTAGCTTCACTATTCCTTGTACAATTAGGAGTTACACCTTTGCAAAGGCATTATGTGATTTGGGAGCCAGCATAAATTTGATGTCGTTGGCTGTATACACCAAACTGGGCATTGGCAGAGCTAGACCGACTTCGATGCTGCTGCAGCTGGCCGACTGCACGGTAAAAAGACCTACTGGGATTCTTGATGATGTATTGGTGCAAGTGGGGAAGTTTGTGTTCCCCGCAGACTTTGTTATTCTGCATTGTCAGGTAGATGAGTAGATACCTATCATTTTAGGTAGGCCATTTTTGGCCACTAGGAGAGACCTGATTGATTGTGAGACTGGGGAATTAAAAATGAGACTGAATGATGAAGAAGTCATATTCAATGTTCAGCATTCCATGAGGAGACCCAGTGAGTATGCGAATTGCTCTCTAGTGGAGGCAGTGGATGTGATCCTGCAAGAAGATGATATGACCCTGACTGGTAAGGATCCATTGGAGGCATGTCTAATAAATTTAGAAGAAATGGATGGTGAAGGGTTGGCTGAGTGGGTTATGGCACTGGAAGGACAAGAATTTTGGAAAAGGGAACCTCAGTTCGAGTCCCTTGAGTTAGAGAAAAGAGCTACACCCCCAGCAAAGCCATTGGTAGAGGAACCACCCAAGTTGGAGCTGAAGCTACTCCCAGCTCACCTTAGGTACGTTTTCTTAGGTCCCGATTCTACATTGCCTATGATTATATCATCCAGTTTGTTAGATGTGCAGGTAGAACAGCTCTTACAGGTACTGCAGGAAAGCAAGACTGCCATTGGCTAGACTATGGCAGATATAAAGGGTATCAGCCCAGCCTTCTATATGCACAAGATTCTCTTGTAAGAAGGGTACAAACCTTCCAGAGAACATCAACGAAGGCTGAACCTGAACATGAAGGAGGTAATAAATAAGGAAGTGATCAAATGGTTAGATGCGAGAATCATCTTCCCCATCTCAGATAGCAATTGGGTCAGCCATGTCCAATGTGTACCGAAAAAGGGGGGAATAACTGCTGTGCAAAACAAGAACAATGAGTTGATCTCAACTCGTACAGTCACGGGATGGCGGATTTGCATGGATTACCAAAAATTGAACACAGCCACCCGGAAGGACCACTTTCCCTTACCTTTCATTGACCAAATATTGGACAGGCTGGTCGGGTGCTCGCACTTCTATTTCTTGGATGGTTATTTGGGGTACAATAAGATATCTATAGCCCCCGAAGATAGAGAGAAAACATCCTTCACTTGTCCATATGGCATCTTCGCCTTTCGGAGAATGCCTTTTGGGCTTTGTAATGCACCGGCGACATTTCAACGGTGCATGTTAGCCATTTTCACAGACATGGTGGAGGATATTATGGAGGTCTTTATGGATGATTTCTCCGTGGTGGGAGATTCATTCGAGGACTGTCTTCACAACTTAAGAAGAGTGCTCAAAAGATGTGTGGAGACAAATTTAGTATTGAATTGGAAAAAGTGCCATTTTATGGTACAAGAAGGGATAGTCTTGGGACACCGAGTGTCCAGTAAGGGAATTGAGGTCGACCATGCCAAGGTGGACGTGATTGAAAAACTACCACTGCCCACTTCGGTCAAGGCGGTGAGAATTTTCCTTGGACACGCCGGGTTCTACAAGCGATTCATCAAAGATTTCTCCAAAATTGCTAACCCATTGTGCAAACTCCTTGAAAAGGATCACCCTTTTGTGTTTTCTAATGAATGCAGGTTGGCATTTGAGGAGCTGAAGAAGAGATTGGTGACTACACCCATCATTGTTGCACCCAACTGGGAGCAACCGTTTGAGCTCATGTGCGACGCCAGTGACTACGCTATATGAGCAGTCTTGGGGCAGCGACGGGGTAAACTGATGCACCCGATTTATTATGCAAACAGAACGCTGAGCGGTGCATAACTCAATTACACTGTGACGGAAAAGGAGATATTGGCTGTTGTTTTTGCATTCGACAAATTCATGTCATACTTGATTGGCTCGAAAGTTATTGTTTACACTGACCATGTAACAATTAGGTACTTGATAGAAAAGAAGGAGTCAAAACTACGCTTGATTCGCTGGGTTCTTCTGTTACAAGAATTTGATCTGGAAATACGTGACCGAAAAGGGACAGAGAACCAAGTAGCTGACCACCTCTCAAGGTTGGAAGGAGCTAAAAAGAAGGTAGAGGTTAAGGATATAATAGAGACATTCCCGGATGAACAATTACTGGCAATGACAATGGAGGAGGCACCTTGGTATGCTGATATTGCTAATTATTTAGCTAGTGGTATTGTACTTTATGAACTCTCCTCAATTCAAAAGAAAAAGTTCTTCCGTGATTGTCGATATTATTATTGGGATGAACCTCTATTGTTCAAAATATGCGTAGATAACATGATCCAGCGGTGTATCCCCGAGAAAGATCAATATTCTATTTTGCCGGCTTGCCATGCTACACCATATGATGGGCACTTTGGAGGAATTTGGATAGCAACGAAGGTGTTGGAGTCAGGCTTATACTGGTCTACTCTGTTCAAGGATGCTCATGCCTGGGTCAAAATCTGCGATGAATGCCAAAGAACTGGAAACATATCTCGTAGACACGAGATGCTAATGACCACAATTCAAGAGGTGGATATTTTTGACATGTGGGGGATTGACTTCATGGGGCCATTCGTCAGCTCGTATGGTAATAAGTACATATTGGTAGCAGTTGACTATGTCTCCAAGTGGGTCGAAGTAGTGGCTCTCCCGACCAATGAGGCTAAGGGGGTACTAGGCTTTCTAAAGAAGAACATTTTCCTGTGTTTTGGTACCCCAAGAGCTATACTCAGTGATGGCGGGACCCATTTCTGCAATAGAGCATTCACACGGCTGTTGGAAAAATCTGGAGTTCGGCATAAGGTGACCACCCCATACCACCCACAATAGAGCGAGCAAGTTGAAGTGTCCAACAGGGAGATTAAAAGTGTCCTCACAAAAACAGTGAATGCAACAAGGACTGACTGGGCAAAGAAATTGGATGATGCATTGTGGGCATACCGCACAGCCTTCAAAACCCTTATTGGGATGTCACCGTACAAATTGGTGTTTGGTAAGGCATGCCACCTCCCAGTTGAGCTAGATCATAAAGCGCTTTGGGCATTGCGATAGTTGAACTTAGACATGGAGACATCAGGCACTAACAGAGTCACGGGACTACATGAGCTCGAGGAATTCAGGTTCCAGGCCTTTGAGAGTGCTAGATTATACAAAGAAAGGATGAAGTTAATGCATGATAAGCACATCTTGGATCGAAACTTCAAATTCGGAGATCGAGTGTTGTTATACAACTCGAGATTGAGATTGTTCCCAGGTAAGTTAAAATCCTGATGGTCAGGACCCTTCAGAGTGGTGCAATTGTTCTTAAGTGGAGCTGTAGAGATTGAATCAGAAGATAGGACAAACAAGTTCACAGTAAATGGGCAAAGGTTGAAACATTACCTTGGCATGTCTGATGAAAAAGAGGATAGAATGATAATCACATTGGGAGAGACCTAGTACGCGGATGAGGAGTGATGGTCAAATGCTGGCGTCGTGCCGCGACGTTAGATCAGGTGCTGCGTAGGAGGTAACCCATGGGTGTGTTAATTAGGTGATTAAAAAAAATGCACCCAGCACTGCGACCGCAGCAAACCGCGGTGGGAGGCAAACATTCTGCCTCGGATTTTCAATCCCACCACGACCGTGGTGGACCGCGGTAAACCGCGGTGGGAGGCAAACATTCTTCCTCGGATTTTTAATCCCACCGCGACCGCAGTGGACCACGGTAAACCGCGGTGAGGCGTAAACTTTCTACCTCAGATTTTCCAAATCACCGCGGCCGCGGTGGACCGCAGTCGACCGCGGTCGGTCCAGGTAAGTCTAATATTTTTTCCGTTTTCTCTTAATTCTTTTTTTTATTTTATTTTCCAACCCAAACCCCNAACTCCTCTCTTCTTCTTCTTCTTCTTCTCCTTCACTCACACCACTCCCATCTTCCATTCCTCTCTTCCTTTCCCCTTTAAGGTAAGATTCTAACTCTTCTCTCTCTTTTCTTTGGCATTATGTTGTATTGTGTTGTTATTATGTGATTTTATGTGGTGTTGAGATATAATTGTTGGTCTATATTTTTTTCTATCTTCTTATTTTTGTTTTTTAATTTTGTCTTTGAGCTTATTGGTGAAGGGGCTGTAAATTACATGTTTGAACGGTATTATTGGTGGGCGATTGAATGAAGTAAGTGTGGGGTGTGTTGGTGTGGTAGTATACTTATTTGGGGAGGAGCTTGGATGTACCCATGAGGGCTAGATGTGTCTGGATGGCAATTTGCTCCCAAGGTGTTTGGGAAATTGCCCCAATGGGGATATAAGGAGCTAGTGTGACATGGATATGGTGAAGTTTGAGTAACCATCCATAGTCACATATTTTGCACACTCACTAATAGGCATTTCATTGTATGACAGGTACAATGGGCTCTTCCAGGAAAAGACGAAACACCGGACCTTCCATCAGTGGACCGGGCAGCTCCTCACGATCCAGGAGCCACACTAGTGCACCTCAGTTCGACAGCACTCGGCTTGTCTCCAGCGCAGTGGAGAATAGGTAAGACCAGAAAGCAGCTAAGAAGTTACAACCAGAGGTACACATTGATCGAATGGCTTTGGAGGTGGAATGCCCCAATATGTTGAATGAGCTGCAGAGGTGTCAGCTGGAAATTTTCTTCGAAGTACCGGAAGAAGCTAATGTTCAATTAGTAAGGGAGTTCTATGCAAACCTGCCAGAACATAAGAATGGGGTTGTGATGGTGCGCAATACCCCGGTAAATGCATCCCTTGACGCTATACGCAGGGTATACAGGCTGCCTGTGTTTCGGGGTGACTTTGATCCTTATCGTACTTTTAGCGGAACAAGGTCCTTGTGGGGCACTCTTCTGGATACTATTCCAGCAACACAACAAATGTTAATCTACCACGAGCGTCCGCAATCCACTATTTTATGTCCCATACTGATTTTGATGTGGCCCGGCTGATTCATGAAGAGATGTTCATTTGATCACCTGAGCTTATCAAGGGTTACTACTTCCCTTCGCTAATCACCCGGCTGTGCAGTATTGCTCGAGTCCCTGAACACCCTCGGGTTGATGGGAAATTGCCACTAAAAGCCCCATTCCGGGCGAGAAAAATTGGAATTGGACGAGAACTGGTGGTGAATGTTGATGACTCTGATGT